CTTTCCCCACCCACCGCTAACGATTCGGGGAGATGTGGGCCAAGCGCCTCCCCGAGCTGCACCTCAGCTCCTGGCTCGCTGATGGGACAGCCTGTCCTGTAGTTTTCTTCTCCTAGGAACCCACCGGGGAAAGTTCGGGACCACACGAGGCAAAGTTGTCTGTGGGTTTGCGGGTCGAGCCCGACCCCAGCTGGAGCCGACAGTGCGCCCTGGGAGCTGAGTCGGTCTCTGCCGGTGGCCGGCTCAGGGCTGTCTGCGACGATCCCCGGAGAGCTGTGAGTCGCTCTATGGCTCCTGCTAAGAGTATAGACCAGACAGCTGCCAGCCGCCCCGGGAATCGGTGACGGGCTTGGTTTATCTCAGAAATAAGCAGCATCTCCGCCTGGTTTGACTTGTGCTCTTGCTCTGCAAATCTGAGCTCCAGCTAATCTCAGTGTTTAACTGGCGCGTGTTTAATTAGCTTATTTGACACCTGAGACGATCTCTGTGAATGTCCTTAAAGTGAAATCTTTGATGTGGGGATTGGGGCGAGGGGGCGGGGGTACGGAAGAGGAAGGGGAGACTGTTTTTAAAGAAAGTTAGAGAGAGGAACCTTCAGAATATCAGCGGCGGGGTCTGGATATTTTACCCATCCCCTCTGTGGGCTAGAGAATGAGAGCTGCTTGGATGTCTGACTGACTAGATGAGTCGGTGTTGGGGCTATTTGGGGCAGTTTTGTGGCTGGAGGTATTGCTGCAACTTGCGTATTGTTTATGAAGTACACATTTGGTCTCTTGAAATAGCCTTCTTGTTAAGAGTTGTTTGATTTGCTAAGTTGTCTATTTCAAATATGACTGGAGATTGGTTTTTAAAACGCGCTTTAGCTGACAACAATGTCTAGATGTAGAGGGAAGGCCATTTGTTCGTGTCGCTAGAACATTCTTTTGTAAACTTACATTTTTCAAGGCCTAGCTTTCTGCGTCTGATAGAGGAGAAGCTGTTCATGAAAAATCAAATCCTGAGATCTGTATGTGTTCAGGAAAAGATTGCTCCCTCCGCCAACACTCAACCCTTTCCAAACGGTAGGTTAAGTCAGAAGGTGTGCCTGCGTCTGGAATTACATAATTGGACTAACAGAAAACAGTGAACAGTTGTTGGTTGTCAAGTACATAGGTAGTTCTAAAAGCAGTGGTATCTTTGTAGCACTGGGAGGTTGTTACGTGATTTAGGGTGGAATAAACAGACAGATTTCCATCTAGAAAATTTTTATACTTCACACACATCTACATCGTCTATATACCTAACATTGGACTTACCAAAGTGCTTGTGTCTGTATATACATGGTTGTAAGTGCCTACTATGTGCCACATCCTGTTCTCAGTGCTTCATGTGCTTTAACTCATCCTCAAAGCAATCCTTGGTGGTAGGTGCTGCGATTGTCCTCGGTTTTGAAATGGGGCAACTGAGGCACAAAGGAGTTACGTAACTCGCACAGCTATCGGATAGGATGGTCTTAAATCTACAAGTTGGTTTTGTAAAAAAAAAGACATATTTATGATTACCTTATCCTTGTTTTTATTTTTTGAAGCATAAATGTCGAAAGTATTTCCTGTGACACGTAAGAACCCCTGACTGTGGAAGTGCCGCGCAAGCACCATTGACTCTCAAGTGAGGCAAAGTATGAGAGAGCCGTCTGGTTGAGTTTACAACTGGAAGACCGCCGCGCCCGCCAGGAGACCCGGGATGGAGCCGCACCAGAGCACCCCCCTCACCTTCCCTGAGAAACGGTGTCCAGAGAAGTCACCGCCTGGCTGCAGGAAACATTATACTGTCAGGAAAAAACTGAAGTTGATCCGAATCTTAGGCCTTTTCGTGGGCCTGGTAGCCATCAGCGTGGTCCCATTTGCAATCGGTGTCTTTTCTGAGACAGAGACACAGAGCCCAGGAGAGGCCAGTGGTGCACAGGGCCCCGGGGTGGCACCCAGTTACCGGCAGAGAACTCTCTTAGATTTAAATGACAAGATTCCGGATTACACTTCACAGCCACCTCTTTCTGAGGAAGGCACATCTGAGAATAGTACCGAGGAGGAGCAAGGAAACTATCCAAGAGACATCTTTTCCCTCGAGGAGCGAAGAAAAGGCGCCATCCTTCTCCACGTCATTGGCATGATCTACATGTTCATCGCCTTAGCCATTGTCTGCGATGAGTTCTTTGTTCCTTCTTTGACTGTCATCACTGAAAAGCTGGCCATCTCTGATGATGTTGCCGGAGCCACCTTTATGGCTGCTGGGGGCTCGGCCCCAGAACTTTTCACGTCTCTCATCGGGGTGTTCATTGCTCACAGCAATGTCGGCATAGGCACGATTGTGGGCTCGGCGGTGTTCAATATCCTCTTCGTTATTGGCATGTGTGCCCTGTTCTCCAGAGAAATCTTGAACCTGACGTGGTGGCCACTCTTTCGGGATGTGTCCTTCTACATCATTGACCTGATCATGCTGATCATATTTTTCCTGGACAATATCATCGTGTGGTGGGAAAGCTTGCTTCTCCTAACAGCCTACTTTGTCTATGTGATCTTCATGAAATTCAACGTCCAGGTGGAAAGATGGGTGAAGCAAATGATAAGCTGCAATAAAATCGTCAAGGTGGCAGCACCAGAGGCCCAAGCAAAGGTTGGTGGTGGGGGCTGTTTATCGAATGTTCTGAATTATTATGTTTTTGGAATCTGCCATTTTTTAATGTGATGGTGTTTGGGGCTGCAGTGGATAATAGGATGCTTTCTACAGTTCTCCGCTAGCCAGACTAACATGGCAGTGAGAAAAATTATGTGGAAATGTTCTCGTGAATCTTTACTAAGTGCTCAAGCTGCTTGCCTCAGAGTAAAACACTTATATAAATATAGGTTACATAAGTACCCCAGAGCAGACTCTGTAAACAAAATAATCTGTCTCTTATTTTCTGCAAGTAGGTATAATGATTCTGTGAACAATTTAATGTTCATGGGGAAGTTAATGGTAATTAAGAAAGAACATTTGTGTCACCAAAGCTATCTCTTTTTTAAAATATATTTTATTGATTTTTTACAGAGAGGAAGGGAGAGGAATAGAGAGTTAGAAACATTGATGAGAGAGAAACATCGATCAGCTGCCTCCTGCACATCCCCAGTAGGTACATGCCCTTGACCGGAATCGAACCTGGGACCCTTCAGTCCACAGGCCGACGCTCTATCCACTGAGCCAAACCGGTTAGGGCCAAAGCTATCTCTTTAAGTCAACAGCCTAGCAACCAGCAGGACTGGTCATTAGAGTGGGTCATGGCTATTCTTGATCCACACAGGAATGCTCCGGATCACTTGGTCAGGGACTGGTTGGGATCCATTACAGAGAGTCACTGGCAGGCTCTGCTGTCTGCCGATGTAGCTCGATGGCACATTTCGCACGCCATGATAAACATGCCCCAAAATATTTTTATAGTAGACTTTGAGGGGTTTTTGATGATAATAGTGGCTGTCCTACCACTTAGCTGGTGAGCAAATTGGTAAAGAGCTTAGAAGAAATTGATCTGCAAGAATGTAAATCCTCACATTGGGATGTTGCCTCTGAATGTGATCTTAAACAGAAAACCAAAATACATATGCAGACTTCATACTAGCATCTGGGGAAATTCTCATGTGTGCAAAAAACAGATGTTGAGTGGAGGGTGAGATATTTTATTCAGCATGAAAAGAAAAAAAAATATATCAATTTAGTATAACTCCTTTATGGTCAAGTTCGATGACCTATCCATTTCTTTTCTTTTCTTTTCTTTTCTTTTTTGTAGCAGCCATGAAATGGGAGCAGAGTGCAGAAAAACATACCAGTAATATTTCTATTTATTATATGCAAAAGAGAACTGTATTTTTTAATATTTCACTCAGTGTATGGTTGTTTGTTAGAAACTGCAGTAAAAATAATAACTTCGCAATATACATGCAAATAAGCATTCCGATATGATACATGAGTATATGGGCGTAGAACAGGGTCATTTCTAAAGCCCCTTTCCCTGCTCTAATTTTATAGCCAAAACGATGACCCCTCAAGCCCTCTCCTTGACTCTGATTGCTAGTTTGAGTGGTTTGCATGATAGTCTTACGTGTTTATGGCAACTAGAGTACTGAAGGAAAAGCATATATTTTAGAGGCAAGGAAATGATTTGGTGTCATAAATATCCTGGGCACATCAAGGGTAAAATGTCTTTTTGAGAACTCACCATTTTTTTTCTCTGTTACCCCATAGTGCAGCGGTTCTCAACCTGTGGGTCGCGACCCCTTTGGCGGTCGAACGACCCTTTCACAGGGGTCGCCTAAGACCATCCTGCATATCAGACATTTACATTAGGACTCATAACAGTAGCAAAATTACAGTTATGAAGTAGCAACGAAAATAATTTTATGGTTGGGTCACAACATGAGGAACTGTATTTAAAGGGTCAGAAGGTTGAGAACCACTGCCATAGTGGAACTTCATTAATTTAAATACAGACTTGGCTAAAGGTTATGTTGGCAACATTCATGAAAAAGGAATTTGTAGGGCAATGCAGTAGTGTATTGAAGATTGCAGGGAGTTTTGTATTCTGATTGGGGTGGGATGCTGGTCTCATGCATTTGGGAATAACTTTTTAAATACCGTTTATAGACAGCGTTTAGTCAGTCAGAAGCCATTCATTAAAGTAGCTCTAGCAGGATTTTTACCTTCTGTATTAGATGACTGTCATGTCATTTTTATGGTCATTTAAAAGTCAGAAACTTAGGCTCACATTTCTCATTAGTTGTTACTCAGTGCCATAATTTTGCGCTGTGCCTAATAGTGTGCATATTTTAATTTGGAGATTGCAGAGTTATCTAATTAAAATAGGAAGAAGATTATATTTATGACTATTACTCCTGTTTCTGATTTTCCCCCAAGAGTGTTCATGTGTTATGTTCCTTTTAGCACCAAATACCTTTAATTTATTCCTTTTAGTTAGAGTTATTTCTTTTGGTATTCAAAAACTAAGTTGAACTATTAATATAATGGAATCATAATTTTTAACTTAGTTATGCCTTGTTCGGTAAGCAGAATGTTTGCTGGGTGAATCAAAATGCTAGAACACAGTTATACAGTTTTAGGTTAAACGATGCATAATGGTGTGCGATTTCCTGCAGTATAATTTTGCCTTGTCAATTTCACTTTTGAATGAATGATTGCTGAAAAATTTTGTTCTCAGCAGTTAGTCTTTATCAAGCACCTGATTTCAGAATCTTACAGAGATTTTGCTCCCGAGGCCCTCAACATAAGGTGTCCCACAGGCAGATGAGTCCTTGGGCGTGGCCATACAATCCTCTGATGTGCAAGATTGATTTCTGGCTGTGCACCCCACCTTTCCCACAGAAGTCAGTGCTGCTAGCATCCTCAGAACACTCAAAAGGAAGATCCTAAGCCAAAATCCAGCCCTCAGTGGAGTCTTCATAAAGAAGAATGTGCTGTATGTAAATTTAGGAGGCAAAATACTAAGCATGTCTTCCTGCAAAGCCGCTGTATTATCTTATTGCATAATTATGGGGCATAGGAATTTGGAGAAGTAGAGGAAACATTTTATATATTCTTGTACAAATCGCTAAAGGTTCTGGCTAAAAAATCATCAGCTCTGCTGGACTCTAGTCAGTGAGATATCTTTGGAATGACTTGCTTCATAGACAAGTTGAAAGTCTTAATTTGGTTCCATTATTGGTGAAGTAGCTCATGGGGCAACTGTGAAGCATGGAAAAATGTGAACAGCCATATTTTTCATAGTTGAAGTCATAGTTTATCATCTCAATTGCTCCACCCTGTGTGGTTTTTATTGGTAATTATTTATTTTAGTGATAATATTATCCTTTTTAAAAAGCTGTGTAGTGTCACAACATGGTAAAGGTACCCTAGGCTTTGACTTCATGGAAAAAAAGGGGGGGCTAACCCCATGTGTGCAATAAGCCCTGTGATCTCAGAGAAGTCACATAAACTCTCTGAGCCTCCTAATGAAAATAATAGTACCGACTTGATAAAGTTTGGAAAATTAATAAATGAAGACTGTTCAGCAGCTACCATAGTCCTTGGCAAATGTGTGTTGTTCAGTAAATGCTCGTTCTCTTCCTTTGATCTTTCGTTCTTAAATGGAAAGAGAATCAGAATACATTGTTTCAAATTTGAGAATTTCAAAACATTTCTGGAAGGTTGGCATTCACCCCAGTGAAATCACTGAGTTAAGCAGGCCATTTGTTTAGAGGCAAATACTGTTTGTCCTATTATAATATTTATAAGCCCTAGTTCACA